GCGGCCCGCGTGGACTCTACTCCGAGTTCCCCGCCCCCGCTCCACTCCGCCCGCGGCTCAGGCCATATGATTCTGCTGGGTCCCAACCGGGAATGGCGCACCTGGGCACCAGTGCGCTGGGCTATGCCTCTGTCCCCCGGCTCTGGCACGCGGGAATGCGCCAAGATACACGTGCCCAGCTCCAAGACAAGAACATGTGCCGCGAGACGCCGCCAAGGGGCTCATAGCACTAGTGAATGCCCTGGGGGATCGACCTATATAGGCGCACAACTCCAAAGCTCTTGCTAAAACGAGACCACCCATAGTTAAGAACGCTGGAGTCAACCGAGTCCCGCCTGGATAACTTACTTAGCTATGTGACTTTGAGCCAGTCGCAACCTCTTTGCGTCTCAGCTTGCTCATCAGCAAAATGGAATTGTGTGGCTGGAGACAAAGTACATTAAACACTTAACACTATGTTCGGCACGTGGTTCTGGAAAATGGTAGCTGTGGCTGGGGTTATTTTTTTCAGGCTGGGAAAGCCGAGGCCACAAAACCTTTGCTCAAGGGCGCGGTCAGTCAGAAAACTGGGAGTTACACCTTGGGAGCTCCCCAGCACCTCAGCTTAGACTCACAGGCCAGAGGTGAGGGGACGCGTGCCGGCTGTACAGGGCCTGAGCCTGCCTGAGGCACAACGGGCGGGGACCTCCTGAGCTAGCCACATCCGCACCCGGAACCCTGGAAACGGGACTCCCCGCGGTGCGCCCCCCCCCCCAGCCCCATTAGCAACGGGCCTGCCTGCCCTCCCTCCCAGGGCTGAGGCCGCACCTGCCCCACCGGATGGCCGCCCCAGGGCCAGATCGTGCCCCCTACCGCGCACACTTCCTCCCGGACCCCCACGGCCCTGTGGAGCGCGCAGGGGGAGGGGACCGGGCCACCCCCGCCCCGCCAGCTTCCCACAGCCTGAGCAGCCCGGAGCCGGGGAGGCAGGAAGTCTCAGAGCCGGGGCGTGGAGGCGGGGTAGGGGCAGGAAGTTGGGGGTGACTCTCCCAGAGACCCCAGACAGGGCCCCGGCGTGGGAGCGGGGTGGGCGGGCGCTTAGGGATTAAGGGCGCCCCCCCACCCCCGC